AAGGATGGGGAACATGTCAAACAGTGATGGATTCGTGCAATAGGATATACCACGGTATAGAGAACGAAGAGATCTACCTCTAGGTGGTCTCAGAATTCACAGGGGATGCCGGAGTTGGCCGGAAAAGCTCGCCGAACCTCGCCAGAAAAGTTCGCCGTCGCAACTTCGATGATAGATGTAGGGCAAACGGATTGGCGGCTCACGAAACCAATCGTACTTTTGGAATGAGGGCATCGAGTAGAACACCGGCATGTATTTATAGGCAGGGTTTGGGTCGGTGGAAAAATTAGGGTTTTGGGATTATTTTAATTTCACGAATTAAAATAATTTCAGAAAATCTAGAATTGCTATTTAAGCCACGAAAAATAGCTAGAAGCTCCAAAGAATCTCTAGAAAAATCCTGGAGATAGATTGAAGGATGAGTAACTCAACTAAAGTTGTTTGAGCTCACGAAAAGATTGTTGCAAAGATCATGGAAAAATATTAAGCCTAAGGAAAAAGGAATTTAATTCCAGAAAAGGTCGAAAAAAAATTCTCGGAGAGAAAGAAATGTCACTCTATCATATTTGAAAACCATTTGCACTCATGAACACCAAATGCAACTGGCATGAATGCAACACCCTTCACATTATATTACAAAAGTTATTTAAAAATCAACATTTCTCACATTATAAATTGCAAAAACCCTAATAAAATTGTGGAAACTTTAGAAAATGATAAAAGCATTAATTTTATTCAGTGAAAACTATTCACAACCCAAAATGGAATTTTTGGGGTGTGACATAGATACACACCACCGACCACTTTGGATCCACCCCCTCCTTTCTTCTTCAGCCAGAAAAAGTGTTAGAAGAGATTGAAATGGGGAAGAATGCCAAGGTAGACCTCGCAGAAGTGAATAAACACAGAAATGTGCAAAATAGTGTTCGGATGGAGATTACACAAGCTTACTCCCCAATACTCCAACATATCCCGTAGGAAAGGATGTACCGGAAGTCCTAATCCACGTTAGAAATAATCTTCAAAGACAACGAGTTCGTCAGTATGTGGCATCGGATAGGGCTCACCATCGGCCGGACGCCATCCGGTGGTGACACGGTTAGGAAGAACGCCCGCCTCCACCATCTCGTTGAGCTCCGTCTCCCCCATGAGTGATGTCACCCATTCCTTATCACGGCTCACCTCGGTGGCCGCCTTCTTCGCGTTACCACCTCCCTTCTTCGGCGCCATCCCTCAGATCTTGATCAGAACTGGTCCCTTTATGCAAGCTTTTTAGCCCTAGCGGCGGAGCGCGTGTGAATGCAAATTGGGGAGTGCGAGGGCGTGGAGGAAGATGAAGTGGCAGAGTGGCAAAAGTGGGAGCGTGGAGTGTGGCGGCACAATTATAAAGACACCCTCTCCACTTTTCGCGTTTAAGGGTTTTTGGAAAACCGCACCATGCTGATTTGTGCCCTTCCGAATTCCCCAAAGCAGCGTGCTGGGCCGTTATCTAGGCATCCGCGCAACTGCTGCCCATATTGCCCATTTTTTGACGCAACTTGGTACTGCACACCGAATATTCGCCGACCCCTCCGTAATGTCATCAAGGCTCAGTAATTTCTACTGTACAGCCATTACTCCGATTTTTTCTCTACGATTTGAGTAATCGGCGTTTCTTGATTTCTTCGAGATTTCCACTTATGGCTTGGGGACTACGTCATCATTATGACTTGGTTTCTCACCACACTGGGGACTTTTGTTCTGGTTATTGCTGTTTCTAACCCTGGCACCATGTGACCACGTCACCTACTATCAGGCTTAGGGACTAAGTGGGCACACTTCACCTTGTGGTGAATGTGCGCTTTTCATTTCAGGGCTCAGCCCATGGACTGGTTGTCTGTTGGCTGGTTTTCTGCCTTTCTTCTACTTTTTGGACCCTGGCACCATGTGACTACGTCACCTACTGTCAGGCTCGGGGACTAAGTGGGCACACTTCACGTTGCGGTGAGTGTGTTTTCTTTAATCTAGAAGACTCCGTGCCTCCTGAAGTTGAATAAGATTATCTCCCTTTCTCGTGGTCGGACTCTAAATGGGCACACTTGGTCCACTGCGAGGAAATTTTTGATTTTGAGCTTGAGCTCCTTGCATCCTTCTGGCAAGCCTTACTTGGGTAAGCCTGTTCTCGGTCGGATAGTTAAGTTGGTCGGTTACAGTCCACAACTGCTCGGTGACTCATTAGGGTGGTCGGACCATGAGTCTGACTGCTCAGCTTTGTTTATACCTGCTCAGACAAGATCAAGACGACGTTGCACAGCGGATACAAGGCGCTCAGGGACTAGCTGTGGGGATACGACCTCGGATACCCACGGCAGACTACATGGGCCACGCCGCCAGGGGCGGTCCGGCCCATAAGACGAAGACTTACAGTGCACGGTACTGCTCGACGTGTACCACAGGACATCAAGGTCGAGATCCTGAAGATGCTACGAGATCTGTTAGGATATGCTCGATCTCGTGATTCCTGTAACCTATTATTACTTACCGGTTATCTTCTAAATCTAACCGACTTATAACCCTACCCCCGGCTATATAGGGCGGGTAGGGGACCCCTCAAAACACACGCAATATCATATGATAGCCAATACAAGCCAACAGACCACAGGAGTAGGGATTACGTCGTGCTGACGGCCCGAACCTGTCTAACTCTTGTGTCTCTGTTGCCTTCTTGTTCTTGATTACGCGCATCTCTGCCGATCAATCTACCTTCGTGGGATACCCCTCGGAGGATTGCCAAACATCTTTTGTCGACATATATTGTCCGTGCTAACGCTACAGTGACATCTAGAACAAACAAATCAACTAATGAAAGAAACACAAATTCATAAACAAATCCAGCTTCCTAATCCTTTACAAAAATGAACACCGCCTCAATCCACTTTTTAAATTTCGCAGTCCTCAACCAAGCAGGATGGATTTGACTCTTAACAACTATCAGCACTGAGAACAAATTTTGAGTATGAGGCTAATATGTAAATAATAAATGTTTATCATAAGTATCAATAAGATACATGCTACTTTGCTATATCTAATCTAATTTAGCACAAGCCATTACAAATGTGCTGATAGTTTATTTTCCTAAATTTTGCAAGTTCAATTAGTCAAAGCAAATGTACAAATAGTTTATTTCCTTTTTTGATATTTCACAAAAAAAACAAGATGCCATACATTACATTTAAAAGAAATATAGCATACATCATACAATTTTACTTGCACAGAAAAACAGGAAAAATTTAGCCATGTCATTCCTCTATTTCCCAACTTCATTAGTTTTTTCCACAACAAACATTTCCATTTAGAATCGAGATTTCCACCCCACCCATCCCAATCTTATCTAAAATAGCATGTCAAACTTTAAAAGGCACTTCAGGAATAAAAGGCACTTCGAAAATACAATATTACTCTAATTATGTGCTAGCTGGGACCATAACTCCCCACCACATAGCATTCGATGGGAGCATAGGTCATAACATACAGTCCAAATCCATTGTACGGGCCCTAATCCTGTCAGCTTTTTTTTTACCTTCCGAGCTTTCTATTCCATCTTTGTATCTGCGTCACCAGAATATCCTTGAACCATCAAATTCTAGCTAACATGAAACACTGCAATGCACAACACAATGAACAATGATTTCACATAGGCAAAGCATCGAGCACTTCATGTCCATATATGTGCTATCAGTCAGAGATGTGTAGTAGAGACGGACCTTGCAGTGTGGCATGTCGTTCCTTTTCCGTGTGTAGGGAGAAGGCTGCGGCAGCTAGGAACCAATGAACCCATGAAGCAGTCGAGGTCATGCCGTCGACGATATTCAACTCCGCAGATGCCGGCGTGCCCACCCCCGAGGCTGATTGGGGCCCTGTAGATCTTCGCAGTATGTGGTCGTGGACGTCTGGAGGAGCAGCATGCTCTCTTGCCATGTTGACCGCCTCATGGGGAGGGAGGGTGCCACGGTGATCCAGCTCAATCTAGCCTCAGACACCGTTGATCCGTCGCGAGCCCAGCCAAGAAGGTTGCGAGGGGATCTGCATCCCTGCTCAGCAATGCCCTTGATGTAGGGAGCTCCAGCCGCCACCTTTAGGGTGCGGCTGAGGTGGCGGAGGGCTGGGATGCAGTGGGGCACTGGCACAGGGACCCATCACGTGGGCCGCCGTGCTGGTCTTGGCGCTGGTGGAGGGGCAGCGAAGGAGGGCGCGTGGCCGGACATTGGCAACCAGCGGCGCAGCGCCATCCCCCACGCCAGCTCCCTCCGGACGCCGCGCCCATCCCGCCGCCGGGAAGCACCACGGCTCCACGCGACAAACCCTGGCCGGGCGTCCCCGCCCCCGACGACCTCGACGCTCCTACAGTCCATGCCTGGCGACCACGGCGGCCCAGCAGCCGATGTAGTGAGCGTTTGTTTTTTCGGAAAAAGGGGAAAAGAACGTGGGAGGTGGGAATCGAACCGAGAGGGTGGGTGTAAGGATGGAGTCACGAGGAGCGGGCGTGGGAGGCGGGAGGGATGAGGAGGATGATACCCACAGTCACTACCGAAACGATGGAATTCTCCTAGTGTTTTTAACTAGTAATAAAATACTACCACGAGTCATAGCACATAAGAATCTCATTAGGAGGCATTTGGTAGGGAAAATAGATAATAAATTTTGAATGTCAAAACACTAGGAGAATCCCACTTCACTAGGAGAAATTTAATATTCTGGATGTGAATCTTGACTATTCGATTTGAGTGAGTAAAGAGAGAGAACTTAGAAACAATCTGGACAGTTTATTTTTATGGTGTTGTTTTCATGAGTACAATTTCTCGGGTGGATGGATAGTGGCTACCTCAGTCAGGGATGTTTTATGGGGTGGGTTTAGCAATGAAAATGATGGTGCATTAGTAGGGTAGATTATTAATGAAAATGATGGTGTATTAGTAGGGTAGATTTATGTACAATTTACTATATGACAAACTGTTAATTAGATGTCAAGAATGGGCAAAATGCGGAGCAGACAGGCCAGCAAGGAGCGAGCGATGCAAGTGACAGAATGGAGGAAGAGCTCATCCGGCAAGAAATCGATCAAGGCGGCGGCAACAAGAACGATACCATCATCGAGCCTGGTTCGTGTTGCTTCCAGCAACAATTATAAATTTTCTATTCTAGTTAACTCATCGTCTGACGATGAGTAAATCAATATTGCCTCACAGCTACGGCGCCACGCAAGCCAATCTGCGACCTCTCCGATCCCAGGTACGACATCTGCGAGATCTCCGGCGACGCACGAACCATGGGAGCCAACCGCACCGTTCTCTACGTGCCGCCCGTCGGCGAGCTCGGCGCGGACAGCCAGGAATGGAGCATCCGTGACCAGTCTCGCAAGTACCTGGAGTACATCAACAAGGTCACGGTGAAGTCTTTGAACGCTTCCCAGGCGGCGCCAGAGTGCACCTCCCGGCACGCCGTCCCGGCGCTGGTGTTCGCGATGAATGGGCTCACGTCCAACCCATGGCACGACTTCAGCGACGTGCTCATCCCGCTCTTCACCACCACGCATGCCTTGGAGGGCGAGGTGCAGTTCCTCGTCTCCGATCTCCAGCCGTGGTTCGTGGATAAGTACAGGCTCATCCTCAGGAACCTCTCTCGCTACGACATTGTCGACTTCAACCGAGACGGCGGCGTCCGGTGCTACCCGCACGTCACCGTCGGCCTCCGTGGCCACCGCGACCTCGGCATCGACCCTGCACGCGCCCCGCGGAACTACACCATGCTCGACTTCCGCCTCTACATCCGCGAAATCTACGGGCTGCCGCCCGCAGGGGTCAGCATCCCGTATAAGGAGGCGAACAGCAACGCTGCTACTGCTGCCTCCGGCGCCCCAGAGCAGCAGCAGCAGCGGAAGCCACGGCTGATGCTTATCAACCGTGGCAGGACGAGGAAGTTCGTCAACTTCCCAGAGATCGTCGCAGCTGTTCAGATGGCTGGGTTCGAGGTTATCCCGATCGAGCCGCGCAGGGACCTCAGCGTGGAGGAGTTCTCCCGGGTCGTGGACTCGTGCGACGTGCTCATGGGCGCGCACGGGGCCGGGCTCACCAACTTCTTCTTCCTCCGTACCAACGCGGTGATGCTGCAGGTGGTGCCGTGGGGGCATATGGAGCACCCGTCCATGGTGTTCTACGGCGGGCCGGCCAAGGAGATGCGGTTGCGAGACGTCGAGTACAGCATCGCGGACGTGGAAAGCACGCTCTACGACAAGTACGGCAAGGACAACCCGGTGGTTAGCGACCCGGAGTCCATACACAGGCATGGGTGGCAGTTTGGGATGAAGTATTACTGGATAGAGCAGGACATCAGGCTCAACGTCACAAGGTTTGCTTCCACGCTGCAGCAGGTGCTTCGGATGCTCAGCGAATAGGCGAAAATTAAAGGGACCATTTATATTACATTACATTTATCATTAATGCTTAGAGATGTCAAGTGTATAGGATCAACCTTTTTTTACATTACATTGTTGGCTTGTTTTTTTCTAGATTGAAATATTTTTAAAGATCAAATTTAGCAGTTAAATATATTCATAACAAGAGAGATTGGGAACCTGAACTATACATCGCTACTACAGAATGGACTTGTTGTCCCGGACGATAACGGCCTTTAGTCCCGGTTACCGCGCCGGGACAACGATCCCGGGACTAAAGGTGCCACCTTTAGTCCCGGGAAATCGAGCCGGGACTAAAGAGGGACCTTTAGTCCCGGTTGGTGTTAACAACCGGGACTAAAGGCCCTCCAGCCGAGTAAACGTGGCCGCACCCTTTAGTCCTGGTTAATAACCCCAACCGGGACTAAAGGTTCCTTTTCTTTTTTTTTTAATTTGTTTTCAGTTCAGTTACACGTATTTGTTTAATATATAATATGTTTTTATGTACGTATTCTACGCTGCTAATATAAATACACGCACGCATATAATTACATCTAATTCTCATCTCGAGCATTATTATATTCGAATAAAGTATGAACCTATATATATTATAGATATATATATGTATATATACAACACTTTCATAATCTTGTTCTCGAAAATAACGATATCAATAAACATTTAATTTACATCATTTATTCCTTAGGATCAAAGTAGAACTCGTCGTTGGGATTTAGCACTTTTTCTAGAAGATATCCTGCTATTGACTCCTGAACTGCTTTCAGATGGTCTTTTTGCATGACCCTTCGTTTCAACCATTCAGTCTTGCATTTGAAATAAAAGAAAAAGTATTAATATATATATATATATATTCATTTAAAAATAAATAAAAAAATTGATATATACGTACTCTGAGGACATCTTTAGGAGTTCTTATGTGCGCAGTGATAAATTCACAAACGTAGTATCCACACAAGTTATTATCTGGTTCCTGCCGCAAACACCACTGTACGAGAAGAAGATTATTCTCATCATCTCACACGTAAATTGAAGTACGATATAGTAATTAAACATGTGGGGAAGTGTATATAGTACAACTTACTGGTATTTCAACTACATTAAGTGGTGCCTTGCAATCCTTGCGATGTTGTCGAATAAACTCTTTCCAAACCCTATGCGACCAATAATGTACGATCGTTAATAAATTATGGCAAAGTCTATTCAATAATAGTTGTGCGCGAGAGATCGAAATTACCCCTGGATAATGTCTATCATATCTTGGTATAGTGCCCGCTCTTTTCTCAACGAGTCAAAGATTACTAACCGACTTGAGTTTAACTCAATGACAATGAGTATCCAGTGAAACCTGTATTGGTTTATACACACACGTACATGCATATAAGTTGTATTGATATTACATAAAATGTGTAGACTACATTATTATTAACACTTACTCAAAGCTGTACGGGAAAAGTATTGTTGTCTTGTCGTGCTGCTTCACGAAGAACATCATGATATTCTCCTGTGCTTCAGATACCCACCGCTCCTTGACAATAATACCGGTTTTGAATACGATATAAGGATCAATGAAGCCAACACTGGTGTCTTGTATTCTTTGAAGCTCTGACATCTGGAATCTGTATATAAATATAAGTTACATGTGAGGATAATTATATACACGTACGCATGGAAGTGAGTTTATTAAATAAAAGTAAGAATCACTTACAAACAAAAGGAGCTAATGATTGATTTGTCCAGAGCATCCAAGTGGAATAGTTGATGCAATTCTTCGAAACTAATATGTAAGATGTCATCGCCACGGAAGTAATGATGGTCTCTAAATCTGACAAAGATCCACTGCTCACCCCTGCCACACGCCTGCATGTACCACTTGTTGAGCAAGTACATTTATGTATCCAATTCATTCAGAGTCATAGGTTGTTGTACAGACTTTTGCCATATTTATAAGTCTTTCGGTATCAACTTCCGTGTTCGGATTGGAGCTTGCCCGTCAATTGATCCAAGGTTAAACCAGTATCTTTAAAAAAAAGCATTAAGGGCTTGAACCGACACTTCTCCGAGTTGTGCGGTCGATAGACTTCTATGTTGGAACCATATTCATTAGCAACAACAAGATTTTGCATTGGTTGCTTCGTTGTCCGAGTGTGGGACATCCTTCCCCGATGCTCTTTTCCTTTTCTTACTCGCATCATGTGACTTCACGAGGGAGCGGTCATAGTCCGATAGTGGCGAAGGCTTACGAAGTTCAATCATCTTTTTCTTGTGAGCATCGACCTTCCGCCTCGGCATCTCTCGTGGTAGGTAAAAGTACGGCTTCTCCTTAAGCTTTCGCTTGACTCTTGTTTTTGGTATCTATAAAAAATCTTTCACTTTTTTGTCTTCTTCAATTGCTATTTGCTCATCGGTCTTTTTCAGAAGTATTTCTTGAGAAATAACTCTTTTTCTCGGGGTCTTCTTTGTCACGGGACCTTAGACGTCTTTTAGAAAAGTCATTTGTGGAGGGGTGGGGGCGGTGTTGGAGACCGGCGTGGAGGCGATGTGGCGGTGTTGGTGGAGATCGGCGTGGAGGCGTTGGAGATCGTTAGGAGGCGGTGGGGCGGTGTAGGAGTTGGAGATCGTTGTGGAGGCGATGGGGCGGTGTAGGAGTTGGCGATCGTCGTGGGGATGAAGTCGTCTCGCGCCAGCACATTTGTGATGAGATGGGGAATGAATGATTAGGCTAGGGTTGGGGGAGACCCTGCTAGAAAAACAAGTTGTGTGTCAATTATTTTTGAAGCCAATAGAAAATTAATGGAAAATAATATTCCATTCACTTTCATTCGTACCTAGGGTGAGGTAGGGGAAGCGGTGGCGTCCCAAGAATGATGATGAAGCGTTTGCGCCATTGAATAAATGTCTTCTCTGCTTCTCCTAGTGTCTTCTCCCCATCACCGCCTTCAATGTCAAGAGGAACATTGTTGTAACCTTTGAGCACTCTATCGACCGAGACGCTAGCATATCCAAGTTGAATAAGCGACCCATGGATTCTTGGTGTCTTCGTTCGGTCTATTGGAGATACAACCCCGATGTACCACCATGATTGATGCATTATTACCATCCGGAATGTGCAGCTCACATGTTGTTAGAGGCTCGATAATGTCATCAACGAGGAAGCGCAACCAAAGCGTCGTCTTGAATAACTCGGCAGCTCGTAGAAGCACAACCGCTTTTCATCCGACCAACGGGGCTAATGGTGACTCCCGGCGTTGATTGCGATTGCATTTGACTCATTGCTAGCTGCACTTGCCTCTTGATCTCCTCCTGCATTCTTGCCTCAAGAGATTTTTCTCGTTCACGTGATTCAAGCAATGCTTGTCGTGACTCATCAACAAATTGCTCCAATGCACGGATTCGTTCTGCCTCCTCATCCTTCTTTCTCTGGCGGCTTCTATAGGTTTCCTTGTCTGCTGGGAATGCGTGTAGCCACGGAACCGCCCCATAGCCTCTTGTTCGACCACCGTGTTCGAGATTCTCTAGGGCATATGTCAATTCATCCTTCTCTCTGTTGGGCTTGAAAACACCACTATCAGCTTCTTCCCTAGCACGAGCTAGTCTCTGTGTTGCTCTCTCAATTTTTTAGCCGAAAATTAGCTTGCCAGTGTCTGGGTCTAGGCTTCCCCCATGAGCGTAGAACCAATTCTTCGCGCGTTGAGGCCAGTTCTTCTCTATTGTTTTAGGTATGATTCTCTTGGTAGTAATCTCTGCTTCTAGGTTCTACCACTTGGGAATAGCACTCCTATAACCACCTGATCCCATGCGATGATGGTATTGCTTCTGTCAGGCATTCTGCCGATTCCTCATCACACGTTCCTCACTGTCTTGAGATGTCTTGTATTCTACGAAGGCATCCCAATGGGACTCCAACTTGACAAATGCCTTAGCATTGAAATTTGGCGTAGCATTCTTCAAGATAAACTTTTTATACAATGTCTTCTTCCAACTCTGGAACAATGTTGCCATCTTCTTCATTGTCCAATCCCTCACTAGCTCCTTCAAAGCATCATCTGCTTGTAATGTGAAATGCTGAGTGATATCTCTCCAAGCTAGGTTCTTGTCACGATCAGATACAAAACTAACATTAGGAGCAGATATCTTCTGCTTCCATTCATGAGCACTAACTAGGATCCTATCCCTTACAATGAACCCACATTGATTGACATATGTCTGAGCATGTGGTCCCAATGGTTTGCCGGTGTCGGTGTTGAATTCTGATATTATGAAACGACCCTCTAATGGCTTTTTTGGCCCTCGGACTTTCCTACTTTTGTCGGTGGTTGATGTAGATCCAGAGACCGGCTACATGAGTAGAAACACAACGATTAACAACAAATATACGTACGCATGCATCTATAAGAGATGATAGATAATCGAATATACCTCGCCAGTATTTTCTTGCGCGACAATTATTTGATCTTCAACCACCGGCATATTCAGGATATCCTCATAATCAGCAAAGTACTGACTCGTGTCATCTACATCCACATTAGTGCCGGCGTTGATAATATCCGCCATTATGTCATCATTCGGAGCAGCCATTTGTATCTTCAAGATAACACATAGATAGAATTACTATGGTACATAACATAAGTACATGTGATAACACATATAGAATTACTAAATCCAATTAAATATAATAACACATAATATTTCATAAGGATAAACAATAATAAGGTATAGGCTTTGGAATCGAATCAAAAACACTTTCGATCCAAAAACATGGAAATAAGTACATGTATATATATACACATATAATGATACAATATATTTTCTCTCTCTCTCAACACATAGAAATAAGTGCATATATCTATATCTCTAGATATGCATGTGATACACATAGAATGTCTCTCTAGATACAATTTTCTCTCTCTCTCAACACATGAAAATAAGTACATGTATATATACATATAGAAATAATTAAGTACATATGTATACATATAGAA